GCTCCCTCAGAATCTGAACGGGGTTCTTCCCCAGTTTTGGCGGTGGCTGGTGATCCCTGGAATCCCCTTGGCTCACGGCTACATCTTTCTAGTCTCTGCCTTTGTCACCACAGGGCTAGCTTCACCTCACCTTTCCTCTGTGCACGTCTGTCACGTTCTAAATTTTGTCTTCTTAGAAGGACACCAATCATATTGGATTAGGACCTACCCTAATGGCTTCATTTTAACTTGATTTTTTTTCTGTAAAGACCCTCTTTCCAAATAAGATCACATTCGGAGGTACAGGGGTTAGAACTTCAACTTGTGTTTGGGGAGTGGGACACAATTTACCCCATAACAGTGACAATAATAGCACTTACTTAATAATGGTTTGTGTGAAAGTTAAATTATATTCCATATATTGTACTTACAACGTCTGTGCCTGGCACATGGTAAAAACTCAGTACATGTGAAATATTCTTTAGAATTATAACTTGCTATTACTTTGATATGCTTTCTGGTTAGTAAAGGGAGGTATAAAGTTCCAGCCAGCCTTCAGGGGATATCATATGGCTGCAGATACTTCATCTGAAGCCACAGCGACAGTGAGTTATTGCTACTGGTGAACTGTTGGGGATATTAAGAATCGTTTGTTTGCAAACATAAGAGTGCCCGTGAGAATAGGTCCTGAGCAGGGCATCATCTCTTCTGTTTCTCAAGGTAGGATAGAAATGTTAAAACCAATGCGTGAGTAGAGTAGTAGCTCATAATACTGGTCTTGGAGCCAGAGGGCTCGAGTTTGATTCCAGGGTCCATAGTTTATTAGCTCTGTGACCCTGGCAAAGTTCTTAATGTCTCTAAATCTGTTCCTCACCTGCAAAATGGGAATGCAAATATGACTTGCTGGGTGAAATTCCTGAGATGATAAAGGCAATATCCCCCGCACAGTGATGGGGAGGCTTTGAGTGCTCCGTGAGTGCAGCTCTCATTATTTTTTTCTTTTTGATTTGTAAATAACAACATGTTTACATGGTTCAAAGACCAACAAATATAATAATATATACATTGAAATGTCTTGAGAGAGATTTGTGTTATTACATATAAAGTACTTAGAATACTACCCCTCTCCCAGTATACCCTGTTCCCACAGGTAACCATCTTTATTAGCTTTCTGTGTATCCTTCCAGAATTTCTTAGTGTAGATTAAAACATAGTTGGGGCGCCTGGGTGGCGCAGTCGGTTAAGCGTCCGACCTCAGCCAGGTCACGATCTCGCGGTCCGTGAGTTCGAGCCCCGCGTCAGGCTCTGGGCTGATGGCTCAGAGCCTGGAGCCTGTTTCCGATTCTGTGTCTCCCTCTCTCTCTGCCCCTCCCCCGTTCATGCTCTGTCTCTCTCTGTCCCAAAAATAAATAAACGTTGAAAAAAAATTTAAAAAAAAAAAAAAAAAAACATAGTGACATATATAATCTTACTCCTCCCCTTTCCTTTACATACTCTTACACTTTGCTTTTTCCTTTTTCCTTTACAATATATCCTAGAAAACCTCTCTGTATCAATTCTCCACACAACTGATCACTTTTCCATTGTGTGGCTATACGCCTCAGATAATCTATCTTTTATTGATTAACACTTAGGTTGTTTCCAATCTCTTGTACTATTAACAGTGTTGCGATGAATACTTTTATTCCTATATCATTTTGCAAGTGGATAGTTGTACCTGAGGATTAACTCCCAGAAGTGATGTAAAGGAGTCAAAAGGAAATCACCTTTGTGACTTTGCTAAAATTGCCCTACGGCCCTGGGAGGTTGGTATTACTTTGCACTTTCCCCAGCAGAGTATGTTTATTTCCCCACAGCCTTGCCAGTTTTTTGATATTTGCCAGTCTCATAGATGAAAAAATGGTATCTTCAAATAGTTTTAATTTCCCTCTCTCTTTTCTTGTTATTATTTCTTAGTTGAAGTGTAATTGATATACAGTATCCTATTAGATTCAGGTGTACATCATGATGATTTGATGTTTTTATACATTGCAAAAAAATTCCCACAATAAGATTGCACATCCTTTCATATGTTTAAAGGCCATATGTATGTTTTTCTTCGTGACTGTCCATATCCTTTGCTCATTTTTTCATTGAGCCTCTTGTCTTTCTCTTATGAATTTCTATGGCCACTTAAAAAACCAGTCTTGGGGCGCCTGGGTGGCGCAGTCGGTTAAGCATCCGACTTCAGCCAGGTCACGATCTCGCGGTCCGTGAGTTCGAGCCCCGCCTCAG